GTAATACTGTATACACATTTTGAGATATTATTAAAGTCGTTGTGATTTTCGAATACATGTATAAGCAAATAAGCAAAATATCTAGTGCATTGACCCCAGACTCGCACTGAACTAACTAGAATTCCGAACGAAGCATCCCATTATAGTTGGCTTCTTAGAGCAGCTCACTCCGAAGCCATTTAACTCCAGAAATCGCAACACTAATTGATGTCGAATGCGATCGATATTATCGAGAGGATTTATGTGATGTCTGCTTTTACATTGATTGCTCCGTGTCAAACGCGAAAGCCAATCGCTATATACCAGCACAGATATTTGCATTCAAATTGAAAGCGCGCAAGCCTTACTTTCATTTCTTTATGTAGAAACACTTATCTTCAATTCAATTTGAATGAGAGAAGGTTTAAGTTTATTTTAAACTGTCAAAAAGATCATCAAAGTGCCGAAAAGTCCAGGCAAGAAAATCAGACATAAATGTACATCAATTGGCCTCGGCCAATCTGTTTGTCAGTCATTTTCCGATTTTTATATACATAGAGTCAACATTTGAGGATCTGTGGATTACGAATGTGCGAACCAAAAACAAGTTGGGTGCTCTAGGACAGGGGCATTTCATGTCCTCTCTGTCATGGAAGGTTGCTAAATTACATTTATTTGGATTTTTGTATCCAGCCTTGAAAAAGTTATATAAAATATTTTGTTCAATCACCGGCTTTGCAGCATATTTTTACAAAGTTGATAAAACTGGACCTGTAGTAACAGTCGCTCGAAAATTCAATAAAAATTGAATAAAAGTTTTGTTTGTGACCTCTTTTTTAGAATATAGTTTTTTTTAGACCGTTTTAGTGATGAGCTTCATACATTTTAGGAACAGGTCATCACTTAAATACGCAGTAATTAGTGTCTACTGCACCACAAAGCAAAAAAACGTTTGTTTATCTACAACTATAATCCAACTAGCTGTTTCAGCGACTTCGTCCGCTAAGAATATATATTTTGGGAATCCAAATTGATTTTTGCAAACCCCTTCCTCTTCATAAACTTAAGCTGTTATCCACAATGCCGGTCGCGTCCTTCCCTTCGTACTTAGCTAAAAGATAGGCATTTAGCGTCACGGCATTTTTTTTTTAGATCATTTCAAGAGGAATCTTTCTTTTATACATATTTTTGGGCTACTTGAACTGTTTTTGCAGCGTACGCCTCGGAAACCCATAATGATAATTAATTTTCCATTTTTTTTACATTTCTCGCTGCATCTTCGCATGTATTAGTCACAGGGCGATGTTTTATTTTATAGCCTTCCTCGATAAGTGCTCTAACTAAGACTAAACATTTTCAATCCGAACCGGTACTTTCTGAGATTAGCGCGTTCAAACAAATAAAAAAATTAATCAGCTTTATATGTTAGTATAGATATATACACAGTCATATATAAAAATAAACAACTTAATGTGTTTACATGCCATACATGCACTTTAACTAAACGAAACAAAGATATATAAAGAAAATAAAACTAACTTATTGTAAAATGTGCAATTACAATAATTTTTTTAAAGATTTTAATTGACTGGGTGCTTTATAAACTGCTTAAATCTTATAGTTTTTACCGTAACGCGCGCAAAACTGTAATTGACTGTGTGTGGTATTTTTTTATTAACAAACGTAAATGCAAGTATCATTTTGTGTGAACAAATATTTTATGAATTTGGATTGACTTGTTACTAAAGGTTTTATTTTAGTCTTTAATGAACATCCCCCACACCGAAATAAGACAATTTAAATGAGGTTTGACAAGAACATTATATATAAGACACAGAACATTTCGGAATATATATTTTGACATTTGTTAGTATTAAAACTTGGAAGTCGACATTCTCTGTTTTTAATATTTTAACAAAACAACTAAGTAAAATACGGCTGTAACATGACAGTGGTGTCTACTCTCACATTACAATTAAATCAACAAAACATACAGCAACTGTTTCAAAGCAAATTTTTACGCTTTGATACGCGATTCGTCGCTTAAAACGATAACCTTTCGCTGCCGATTAGTTTATTTTATGTCAATTGTTCATCATAGTTACTACTCGTATTATTATTATTCCAATTAAAAGCTATGTATGTATACATTTAAATGGTTTAACACTTGTGTATACAATGAAATATTCTTTTCCTTCTATGCAAAATACAATAAGTCTCTGGCGGGGGGGGCACCCCCCCCCCCCCGGGGGGGGGAAAACCTGAATATCAATTACAAAAGTTAATACTAAGAAAGTTAATAAGTTAAAATAGTTAAACTTACTGTATAAAAGATGTTACTTTTGAAAAAGGATAAATTAATTTTCTGGGATGATGATAGTACCACCAAATATTTAGTTTGCGCACGTATGAATCCTTGAAAGGCTTGTAAACATATAAATCAAATAATATAGTAATGGGCTTATAATAATGAGTTGAAACTGAAATATTCACGTATCTAAAATATATTTCAATGTACATGAAGCGATGCCTAATGGCTATTCGCAAATATCGACATCCGACAATTATAAGCTGACTCGATCAAAGTAACAATAGGATAGCACGTAATTGTTAACGAACCTTTCGAAAATTTAACGAATTGAGGATTTTGTAAAAATATAAAACTATTTTTTCGTCGTAATATTCCTACCACGATATTAAAATAAGCTTAATAGTCGATTTAACTATAGGTTATTTTAATAAAAAAAAGACAGCGGACATCGGAAAGCGACAGACTGCGACCGAAACGCGATTAACTTCACGCCTCTTTGATCTGTGGCTGGTAGTTCGTAGCGAGGTCGGATTTATATATTCCTACTACCGATTTGATATACAGAGTTTCCAGACGAAGTCCAACGTGATTCAGAAATATTATACATTGATTTAAAACATCTCGGACATCAGCTGTACCTTGATAGTATTAGACCTACAGTGCTGTTTGATTTGTTTGAATACTTTAAGGCTTATCCGTAAGATAGACGAGTAATTAGATTAAATGCAACGTGGCAGTTTAACATATTCCTCGAAAGGCGATCATTTGTCGAGCTACGAGTGTCGCTGGTTGTCGATAATCCATTTTGTATCACGCTTCGTTAGCTAACGCAGGGTTGCCACAAACTTATTGTTTTCTTAGCACTTTCTTATAGCACCATACATATATCAACTAATATAACTTTAACTATCGATATATAAGTCTTTCGCTAAAAAATCCTTATTATCATTGCTTTTATTTGCACATTTTGTTATTATGTTGCGTTAACTATGTTGACATACGTAGGTAGAATTTCTGATGAAAATGAATGAACAGAATGGAACTGAAAAAGTTTAGGATATTAATATTTTACAATAATATACAACTTTTTAAAATAATTGATCTTTTATATAGTTTAGCAAACGGTCTGCCCCATATGCCGATAAAATACGTGTATTTGGAGTATTAAAGCGTTGAAGTATATAATAGTAAAATAAATATTTAATTTTTTATTTCAAAATAGTTGTTGGTGATTTGTGCAATATCTTTTAAAATACCTAGTCACTAGTCAGTTTTCAAATAATTATAATAAAAGAGTATTTCATCCTTTGTAGACAATTTTTGGCAGCCCTATACCACAGCTAACGATGTGTACACACGACATCGAGACGGCCGCTCCCTAATAGCGAATATTCGCGAGATCAAAGTATTTTTCCTTACCGCAATATGTACATCGCACATAAGCTTTCGTTTCAAGGCTCACCTGCTTCTATACGTTCAGAAATTACATTCAATTTGCTTATAGGGCTTTATTTGCGAATGCTGATTGAAAAAAAAATGTCTTTTTCCTTTTCCCGGGTGTTTTATTTGAGAAAAATAAACGCTTCATTTTAATTACCAATGGTTGTAATAAATATAGTATTATGCTTCTAAGAGAAGGACCTACATACATCGAGATTTTTGTACTATTACACATTACTTGTCTCGCAAAATGTTCCATCAATCTAGAGCATGCGAACACAAAATAAATAAATTCGTAGCAAAACCGAGAAACGTACTATGAATTCCAGCTTAAAAATTGGTATGAATCTTATTTTTTTTAATAAAACACTTATTTTTAGCTTGCTGGCGTATTTTTTCATTTACATGACATGTTATATTCTACGTCGTCGGTATGTATTTGTTATATACTTCACCAGAGGCAGTGTAAAGTCGGTCGCGCACCGAAATCGATTTTGTGTTAACTCCGAATGATCGTATAATTAATGATGTTATCGTTAATCGAATTGTGATTAATTGTTATTGTGTACACACCCCCCGCAAACTTTGTACACTCCCGCGGACTAATTTCTATGTGAATTTATAAAATGTATTTCAAATTTACCTCGAATTAAATTTGCTCATTGCCAGTTTATATTAGAAAAACGTATTGCGTCAGTCTGTTCCACGGTCAATATTTGTTGTTATAGTTTTTTTTAAGTAGAACATTTATATATTTTTTTAAATATTTGACCAATTGTTGTAGGACAGTCTCGGTCAATAGTTAACATGGCAACTTACTCAGGATTTTTACTTCTTTATTATCGTAGAAAGAAAAAATGGGATGACTAAAATTAAAATAGATTGGGCACAAAATAGAGTTAAAGAGAAACAAAGTGGGAACGTAACTAGCAAATAGGAGAGAAAAAAGTTACAATGATCGTTTACCGACGGGAAAAATAAACAACAAAAATTCTAATCTATACTTTAATATATAAACGTGAAGTTTTAGTGAAGTTAAGAGTTTGTTTGTTTGTTTGAAGGAGTTAATCTCAGGAACTACGGGTTCGAATTGAAAAATTATTTTTGTGTCGGTTGCAGCATTCATCGAGGAAGGCTATAACTTCTATAGAAGTAAAATATATTGTCTACACTGCGTACTGCGAAGTAAATATTTGTCTATAATTAACAAATAATCAGACGTTTATTGAGTAAATTGTTCTTCGTATATTTCCCTGAAATAAGAAGTTACCTGTATAGAGGTTTGCCGCCCGCATGTCTAAACCACAGCACCATGTAGACCCTGTCTTCATGGGAGTCAGGTTCTATGTCACATGGGAGAGAGCCCGTTCTTCCCACGACAGCCTCCACTTCCATTGTCGAAACTGGAACAAAATCCACTACACTTCAATTGATATGACCGTTCTTTGTGCTATTAAAATTTATATAAGAATTACGGTTTAGTTTGTGCTATGTGGTCGACATTTAACTTAATTTTGTTTAACCTGTTTTATAAAAAAATAGAATTAAAATAAAATTCTGTTAGAAACTAATATTCGTAGCATCGCTTGTCTGAAAGAGTTCAACCTATTAACAATTACGATACGTAAAAGTAATAAAGCTAAAGTATACTAGACAATGTATTTTTCTGTGCGTAGTCGTGCGTTTTCTTAGTGGGCATTTATAAGCTCAGTTGGTTGTTGGTTGAAAGGTTTTTGATGAAAAAATTATCGATCGGCTTGTTGGTCTGATGGTAGCAATGTTTGGTTAATAATCAATGTTGTTCGATCAATTAGTGTAATATTTTTTTTAAATATGTTGGACTCCGACAGAAAATCGGAAAAAAAAAAAAAAAACATTTTTCCGGGTTCCGGCTTTCCGCCAGAATTTCCGAATATCCAAAAACAAAGTACGTCGGCAGGCCATCTTGACAGACGCTATATATTCCACCTTCCATCCCCAAGTAAACGCCATGCTTGTGTGTTTTCCTCTATAAAAAAACCTTTTAGACAGCCATCATTCTTACATCGCGAGATAGTTATAATAGAAAAATATACGCATTGACATAGATTCATTTCACTGCGTACATCCGCGGCTTAATAATATTCCCAAGTGGAGGATAAAGGATTAATTGCGTATTTGAATAATACATTATGCTGATATTTATTTATAATATAAACAAACCTGGCAAGCTAAATACCGCTAATGTTTTCTGCAAAGAAATTGCATTTTAAATTAACTCTAGAAGGCTGTATTTTCACATACCTAATTCTGAAAAGGCATCTACACCTTCGCTTGAGTGAACTTTTAATATGACACGTTATTACCTATTACAGTCTAAAATTTATCGTCGTAAATAGTCTCTATTTTATTTAAGAGTTGTTGACTAAGACATATTTAGTTCGGTATATATTGAATTGTTCATGATACTATAGTAATATATTGTGGATCGCGTTGGAGGATTCGGCTTTCATTCCATAGAAAAATAACAACTGTGAAGCATTCGCGCGAAAATTGGCCTCTCGCGCGGCTGAGCTTAAATTTTATAGCGGCGGCCGATCGCCTCATATATCGGCATTACGGCGAATAAATCATGAATGAATGAATGAAATGAATTGCGAATGAACGAACGATCGGCGTTTTTGTCTTTTTTTATTACTTTTGATGGGATTAACGGATTATTTGTCCAGTTTTTTGGTTTTAATATCGGTTAAATTGCCTTGTAGACTGTGTCTATTTAATTTACAGAACGTCCGCAGAAAACTTACCTTGTATTAAGATTACAATACAATGCTCGTCTCACCAACGTTTCTAACAATTAGCTGCTGTACATATCACACTCGCAGCGTGTATATAATGTAGTTTTACGTAATAAAAGCGTTTAATTTTGCCTTAGTTGTCGTAAACCAGGCAGGTAACTCATTAGGAGCACAATGAGTTAGCACAGTGACGTCACGAGCACGGTAGCGTCAACTACAAATTGCGTCTTGATTAAAATTGAATATGCAAACAACGGCATCCAGTAGAAAGAATTACTGGAAGCGTAAGATTTCGCTACAAGGTGATAATTAAAAGGAAATTACACACATAAAGATCGCCTTAGTGGCTCAATTGATAAACATTGCATTGCGGGAAACGGAAGTCTCAGGTTCAATTCATGTCTATTAAAAATGATTATCTGTCGGAGGAAAGTTTTAAAAGCTTAGTAAAAACAAATGTATCCATTCCTTATCTTTTCTCTTAAAAATCTTTTCTATTATATATATCTTCTGGTAAAGGTGTACAGTGATGTACAGGCTACGTGTTTCCCATATTCTAATAACCCTTCAACCCTTTTCTGTGTAATTCAAATGTAAAATAGAAAATCTCACACCTCAAACACAGGCTACTCATACCAACTTAAGGTTATATTTGATAATTTACACTAACTAACTAAACTAATCTTGATTCAAATGTTAAGAGTACAGTAGCGGGCTCACGTTACATGAATAGGTTTGCTTTGCCCATAATATAGTGATGTGCTAGTTTGCATGTCTCACTTCCATACAAGCAATGACTTAGCAACAATAAATAAATAAGTAGCGGCGTTCATTTATATCCAAGAATATAGATATTTACCGAACGGCAGCCGTTTGGGGATGTCGTAACATTTTACGAGAGGCAAAACGTTCCGTTGATGGTACTGTTTTACGTAGTACTTGATAATATCTGATAATAAATTCGGTTGCCGCAGACACGGTAGTTTACGATTTTTATAATCGATATCAGTCCATAGTTTACGCGAGTAGTACACATTTAAATAAAACATTTTTTTTAAAGACCAAATATATAAGTCGCCATGTTATGTAATTTATTAACTATGGCCCGACGTTTTGGAAACTAAAGCAGCCACGGTCGCGGAGGCACTGAAGATGAAAGGTGCCTTAATGTCAAATTCAAATTTGCTATGCTAGCGCCATCGATGTCATCGTGGTTGAATTTTGGCCGGCTCCTTACGTAACGGTGTCCTCTGGTTTACCCGTACGTGGTTCTATGGGACCTCGTGTTGTTAGTATAGAATCCTAGGTGTTTGATATTTCGAAGTGAAAATCGCGTAATAAACATGATTTTATCGCTTTTCACAGTAAGCCAGTTCCCTGGACTCCGTAGTTTATACGATTCTTTATTCGTGTGTAATAAGAGTGTCTGTAAGAGCTCTATATAAGAATTAATATATAGCGATATTATTTGCTTATCAACATCACCCATTAACAATTTATTCTTAAGCATCAATTGCAAATTGAAATCAATGCTAATATATAAAGCTGAAGAGTTGGTTTGTTTGTATGTTTGAACGCGCTAATTTCAGTAACTGCGGGTTCGAATTTAAAAAAATATTTTTATGTTAGTTAGAGGATCTAGATTTATCGAATAAAGCTATTTATTTATTTATTTATTTATTTATTTACAACAATTAAAACGGCAATACCCAGTTACATTAATTGGAGACACATACTTAAACAATAACAATTAAAAATAGGTTATTACAAATTACATTAGGAGATCATTTCAAAGGCAGACAATTCTTTTAGTATTGTTGACCAATCATTGCGAAGAGGTCAATTTGGGTCTTAACTTGAGGAGAGCGTTGAGTGAGGTCAAAATGCGGTATGGCGAAAACTCACGGGGGAGGTGCGACCTTTTGGGACGTCAAACAAATCGTGTCTCCTAGCGCGGCTATAGTTGTCCGGAACAAAAGTCGACAAAAAGCTTCCCTCAAATAAGGATCGTGATTTGGTTTCGAAACAACTTACAGGCTATAGTTAATTGGCAGAGATCTGCGACTTTCCAAAGAATTAAAACCAAGCTGTCCTAATAAAAACAAAGTCGGATACAAGTAGGGATAAAACCGTATTGGTGTTTGTAAAGGAATGAGGAAGGCTTTTTGATTTTTTCGAGATGAGTACAATTTTTTCTCATAAGGTTCAAGGACGAACTCGATTCAATCTTGCTGCGGACAAGAGACATATATACAAGGCATATCGCATGCCTATTGCGAAAGTCGCGAACATTGCGCAGAACAAATCCAAGGCGTCGAAATGATTCCTTGGTTAGTTCGACTATATGATCGTGAAACGTTAATTGAATCAAATGTAACGCCCAAATCGTTTATAAGGGATTTCCTTGTTATCGCTGAACCATAATTGATATTCGTATAAAGGATGAAGTCTTCGACCGAAAGTATCGCTGACATTTTGATGAATTAAAAATTAGCTTATTATCTAGACTCCACCGTTAATGGCCTTAATATCCTTTTGAATAGCAAGGCAGTCATCTAGTTTTAATTCAGAAAAAGTTTTAAATCGTTGCATAAGAAGACACTTTGTATTCACCAAAACTGATGGAATCATTTACCATGAAAGAAATAAAAAGACTAGTATAGACCCTGACTCACTCCTGATGTGTGAAATAAGGTTTGGAATCATATAACCCAAGTCTACAAATTGTGGATAGAAGGTAATTCGAAAAAAACTTGAGAAGATTGGGCCAAAACCAATAGCACCAAGCTTGGCAAGAAGTATATCGTTATTACACGATCAATGTTTTTGTAGATCAAAATATAGAGTCATTGAAGGCCCTTATCTAACGTAGCCGAGATAAAATCCACTAGAGTCAAAAGTTTGTGTCGACAGACCTTTTTCTCTAAAGCATGTTCTATAAAAGACTATAAAAAGTCGCCCTATGACTAATACAAGCGAAGATACAGCGAAAAATGTGAAAAAAATTCGGAAAAATTACTAATCGTTGTGTTTCCGAGGCGTACACTGCAAAAACGATTCAAGATACCGAAAACGTATGTGATAAAATAATTCTTCTTAAAATTATCTAAAAATATGTCCGCGACAATAATATATGTCTGTTTTAAGACAAATTTGCAAAAACGACGGGGCACGGTCGACGTCGTGAGTAACAGTTTAATTTTGTTAAATAAAGTAATGTTTAACAAAATGACTTTATTACTGCTTCTTATCTTACGATGAAAACATTCACTCTTTCATAACAAAAACCAAACGGTTTACGAATCGAAATACATATATTCATTACAATTTTAACCCGTTTCGAATGCTTCGCAGCAGCCGTGACCATGCGTTATACCACCGCCACTTATTAATTTCTCGTTTTTAAACTGTTAAAAGTGTTTTATTTGACTTGGTACTTCTCGCGTTAGTTACTAAACTTTTAATAGTTTTAACTCGAATTGCTAAACTCTCGCGCTTTTAAACATTTTGTTTACTTCATGTATTGATTTCACCGTCTATTCACTATTCAGTGCGGTGTGGAAAACGTGTCGTGCCAATACTTTGCGGTAAATAATGTATAATATCGCGTCTTGGGGA